TCATTGGTGCCTTCATGGAAAATCATCCATTAGAGCAGAAAGATCATGTGTATTTTCTCCCCCTGCCTGTACATGATCATTGAATCTGAAGGCTGGGGTATTTGCTACTTTAGGGATGTCAGAGCTGAGAGTAAAGTTAGTGTTACCCAGTAGACAGTATTCTTATCAGCCTCTGTCCACCTCTGTCTCCACAAAAAGACATCAATCTTGTTTCACAGAGAACTTGAGGCCAATGGTCATAAGCTGGATCAAAGCCTTCCACTAAAACCGCTGAACCCATTTCCCTCTGTGGCCACTCAACTTCACCATGCCTTTCTTAGGGGCAGAGCAGTGTTTCTAAGGCTCAAATTGAGACCCTTCTTCTATGATCTGGATTCTTCCCTCCTCCCCTTCCCATGGCTTTGCACCATCAGTTCTTCCTTCCTTTCTGTAATATCATATGACCTCATTCTTAAAACATGAAAATGAAATCAAACAGCACAGTTTTGCACTTGGGTTTTCTATGTCTCTTTCTATGTATGGTCAAGTTCCATAAAATAATCACCGTTGCAGTGTCTCATGTCCCATTAATTCCTCAGTTCACCACAATGAGGCTTCTGCTTATACCACTATTCTGAAATTGCTCTGAGACAAAGACTTTCTAATTACCAATCCCAACTTCTCTTTTCTAGATTAACATTCTTGGCTTTTTTGTGGCATCAAACACCTCTTTGACACTTGGCTTCATGCTATCAGTTTGTCCTCTCTGTATTTCTGACTGAAAGCTTGGGTTCTCCTTTCCTTGTTTCTCCTTCTCCTTCTCCTCCTTCTTCTTTTTTTTCTTCAGCAGTCCTGGGGTTTGAACTCAGGACTTAGTGCTTACTAGGCAAGTGCTCTGCCATTTAAGCTATACCCTCAGCCTTTTTTGCTTTAGTTATATTTTAAGATAGGGTCTTGTGCTTTTGCCACCCAGGACCAGCTTTGGTCTGCAATCCTCTATCTCCACCTCCCACGTAACTGGTATTACTGGTATGGGCCACTGCACCTGGCCTCCTGTTGTTAATTTCAAAGATTCTATCTTGGCCTCTAACACTTTCTCAAGTTCACACGCTCCCCAGATGCTGCCACCCGTACCCACTGCTATTACTATGACACACTGATAACTCCAAAGTCCATCTTCAGTTCAGCCTCTTCTTCTGAGCTCCTGGCATTCTTTGAAGGGTTCAAAGGCATCTCGACCTCCTCCTATGGCCCCCACCTCACTAGTCCCCCAAGTTAAACCTTTGGGAGTCATATCCAATTCTCTTTACCCACCAGCCTCATATATATTTTTAAACTAGCATATATCAATTGTACAAAAGAGTTTCATTGTGATGTTTCCATACATGCATACTTTGTATACTTTGATCAAATTTACCCCCTCTCTTATTCTTCCCACTTTATTAAACAATTTTAATGGGCTTCGTTATTCTATTTTCATACATGCATATGAAGTACTTCAATCATATTCAACTCCCACCACCCTCTCCTTTCATCCCCATCCCACTGGTTCCTGCCCTTAAAGAGTCCCCCATTTAAACTTGTGTCATTAATATTTTTCTTTTAGGCCTAGATTCCACATATATATATGTATATATTGTGAATAGTGTTGCTTTAAATATGGGTGTACAGGTGTCTGTATTGTATGCTGGTTTATATTCCTTTGGCTCTATGCCCAGAATTGGTATAGCAGGATCATATGGCAGTTCTATTTTTAGTTTTTTGAGGAACCTCCATATTGATTTCCAGAATGGCTGCACTAGTTTATATTCTGACCAACAGTGTATGAGGGTTCCTTTTTCCCACACCCTTGCCAACATTTCTTGTTGTTTTTTCTCCTGATGATAGTTATTCTGACTGGAATGTGATGGAATTTCAGTGTTGTTTTGATTTGCATTTTCTCTAAGGCTAAAGATATTGAACATTTCTTTATGTATTTATTGGTTATTTGTACTTCTTCTATGACAATTGTCTGGTCAGTTCATTTGCCCATTTGTTAGTTGAATTATTTGTTCTTTTGATGTTTAATTTCTTGAGCTCTTTATATATTCTGGATATTAATATCTTGTTCAATGAATAGCTGACAAAGATTTTCTTCCACTCTGTAGGTTTTCCTTTTGATTCTTTTACTCATTTCTTTGCTGTGCAGAAGCTTTTTAATTTAATACAATTCAGTTTTTCAGTTCTTGATCTTATTTCCTGAGCAATTGGAGTCTTATTCAGAAAGGCCTATGCCTATATCTTTCTCTATGTGTTCCTGTAGAATTTTCAAAGTTTGATCCATTTTGAATTAATTTTTATACAGGGGTCTAATATCAGTCTTCTGTTGTGGATATCCAGTTTCCTAACACTGTTTTTTTTTTTTTAAGAGATTGTCTTTTATCCTACCTATGTTGTTGTCATCTTTGTCAAAAATCAAATGTCCTTAGCTGTGTGAGCTTATTTCTGGATCCTCTATTCTATTCCATTAGTCTATGTGTGTGTCTGTTTTGTACCAACCACATATCTTAATGCACTTAAAGAAGTGGCATATTTCATTGTATTGTAGTTTCATAGTCAACCCACTTTCTTTTTCTGTTGCAAATTCAATCCCTCACAAACTGTGGTGAAATTTAAATGATATACCACTTATGCCTATCACCTGATAAAATGTTGATTGAATCTAAATCCAACTAACCACTATTTCTAAGTACTTCTAATGCTTGGTACATACAAACCAATGAGAACTGTCATTTCTTCTTCAATTCTTCAAAATGCATGTGATTTGCACACTCCACCAATATAGTAAGCCACGAAATACAGTGTGTGGTTTGAAAGATTGATGCCAATGAGTAGCTCCTGAAACCACATGATTGTTCTGACTTTGAAGTCTTTAAATCTGATGTGATTTAAGTTCCTAGTGGAAAGAATTGAAGCAAGGATTACGAGTTTTTGTTTTGCTTTATTTTAAGAGCTACCACTGTATCTTCTGCTTAGTGAATCTCTCTTTTGTCTGAGCCTTGGGTACAAGCATTTGCACACTATAATGTAATGTCTGCTTTCTTCCTCCTGTAGCTTTTTCCTCTTAGTGAGGGGGAGAGTTATATAAATATAAGTTTTCTTTCACTGAGCAACTACATGAAAAATGTAATAATAACAGTTTATTTACTTTGATATTCTCCAATTATTGCCTCATGTAAATGAAATTCCACAGGCAGGAAGATCTTTTCCTCCTCTTCAATCTGTTCATTCTTATTATCTTCCCTATGTCACTAGTAATCAGAACGGGGTGTGGAGGGGGCGCGGACAGAGAGAGAGAGAGAAGGAGAGAAGAGAGTCTGACTTCCCATAATCATAGAATAAAATCACAGGGATGGGACCATGCCAGAACAATGCTCTGTGGTCTAGGAATAACATGCGTGGATTGCCTTAGATCTAGTTGGTGGGAGTGGGGGCAGAGGGCAGGGAGAGTTTTAAACTAGAATGAGCCTCTCTGCGTAGGTGATAGTGATGGAGTTGAGAATAAAGCTGATTTCCTCTGGAGTAGATGGGTTGCCTAATTAAATGGTGGGCACCTAAACAGGGAAGTGTCATTTTATTGGGCTGGGGGGAGATTGAGCAAACCAACAAAAGTCCATTACATGAAGCATCATTAAAAGAAAGGAAATAAAAGAAGAAAGAATAAAGGAAGAAGATTTCCTTGAAATTGGAAAGAGAGTCTGAATTTTAGGAATAATAAGAAACTGCCTGGTGATATATATTTCTTAACAGTTTTTAATGAAGTCTTTAAAATTTTTAATTTGCTTGGTTTAGCTACTCCTGTCTAGTGAAATACTTGAAAAATAAAATTTTGCTAATAATTGTTGTGGCTGCATCTTGTTTTCAATTTCTATATGCTATGTTGCTTTTTATTTGATGGTGGTTTGCCATATACAAGCCATTGATTAACCACAAACCATTGATTGACCACTGGTGATATCCAGATAAAATTCTGGATGGTTTATAAGTGTGGAAATGCAGCAACTGGATAAACCTTTCAAAAAATATGCAACTAAGTGGAATAAATAAAAAGTTGGTCCTCTTTTTAAAAAAGAAGGATACTAGGTCTTTTGTCATATCAAATTTCCAGGGCTTGGAGGATCCCTCCATCATGGACTCCTTCAGTGTTACTGAGAAGATATTAAGTGGCTTCTATAACTGGTGAAGAAAACTGAAATATAAGGACTGCTTTGGGTTTATAGTCCCAACTAGAAAGAGACTTGACAAAGAATAATATACTATTCAGAATTTACTGTGTTAGTTAATATTTAACAGATCTTTGTTAAAATAGCAGCAACTTTTATTAAAGTAGACTCTTTGGTTACAAAAGTTTTAGTTTTCTCTCACTTGAAGCAATTCACTTCCCACATTTCTACTTTGGTGTTTCATAATCAAGAAGAGGGAATTTTCTACTTACTTACAATAGTTCATTCCAATAGCTAAAGAGATCCAGGCTTCCAGTAGCTAATGGATAAAGCTGAGAGGTTTGAGGAGACAATATATAAGTGCATAGAATGCTGAAGGAAGTCTTTCTGATTCCTGGCAACTGTTCATAGTGAACAGACAACTGGCCTCCTCAGGAAACAGCGTGGGCAGCAATTTGGGGAGTCATTTGAATAGCACAAATCTGTCTCTTCACCCCAAACATTTCTTTCTCTTTGTTTTTTGCAAAGATTATAGAAAATTCTTTTTTGATCAAGCTTTGGGGTTCAAAGTGAAGACTTTTGCAAACTGAAAATTTAACATGCTCCTATAGTAGTGCTGAAGAACTACCTTAAGCCCTTAATCAGAAAGACCCAACTTTACATGATAGTAATGGAAACACACTTTGAGGACAGACATGAAGTGAAATCTCTGTTTGTTGTTTCTCTGGATCACTACTAAAATGATGGAAGAGCATTGCACAGATCTCTGACTGGTTTTCCAGACTAGTGAAAGGAGACTCAATGGACCTTTGACTGGAATTTTTTTTTCTGTTACCATAAATAAATGAAATGGATAGACTCTCTGAGGATGGAATTGTATAATATGTTGAATTCATGCTCACTATCTTATAGGAATTATTTGTATATAAAATCCTGTGAATATGAGATTGAAAATGTGTGATTTGTAAGCAAAAGAAAATCTTTATACCTGCATTTCAAATTTCTGGCTGATTTATAAGCATTTCAAAGTCAAAGCTATTAAGCACTTCAAATTTTCTATGGCTATGCATGGTTGGTTAATATTTTTTTCCTCAGCTAGCCACCCAGTGGCATTTTGCATGCAAGTCTTCATTTTTTCCGTCTATATTTTTTCTCATCTAGCTTTTTTAGAAATGTTATTCCTATTTCTGTTACACTGTCACCTTTTAGTCTGTCATGCAAGAATGTAACATCAGCAGCCAAATTAACCTATGAAAGAAAAAAAACAGGAATGCGTCATTCAATTAAAAAAAACTTTAAAATTTTCTCAATCTCTAAAAACCAGTTTGTTCTGTAGATGAAGGGCCTTTGATTGTGTGTTCCCTAGAGATGGTCTGGCAACATGTCAGCTCTGTAATGTGAATCTGCTGAGAGAAGAGAGAGCAGTCCAGACCAGGCCCAACAGGGGTGGCTGGGATGCCTAGACATGTTTGCCATGACAAGCTTTGCTCAAAGGGCAGGGTAGAACTATGGATCCATCTCAGGAAGAACACAGATTCAAAACTCAAAGATAGCCCTGACTCAGTGTGCTTGGTCAAGCAGAACTTCCAAGAATAAATGGATTCTTAAAGAATTCTCAAATAGATTTGCCATAAAACACTGTCATCAGCAAAATAACATAATAACTTATCCAAACAACATTTAACAATCACTTATGGCTTTGAGAGCCTTGAAAAAATACCAACTAAATAAATTAAGTTTAAAATTAAAGATTGAAATTATAGACATGAACATCTGATACTCAGACCTTCTTTTCCTTTCTAAAGCAATTCCCATTTTCAAGACAATAAAGTAAGTCCTCAGGGCTCACTTCTCTATCATTAAAATGTATCTATGGAAGAAGAGCCTGGAATTGCTGACCCATCTCAATACAGTATTTTTTCAGAGTTATTTTAAGTCATTTGGATAAATAAGATAAATAAGTGAAAGAACCTAGTTAAAAAAAAAAAAAGAATCATGCTGGAGACTTGGCTCAAGTGGTAGAGTGCCTGCCTTGAAAGCATGAAGCCCTAAATTCAAACTCCAGCACAGCAAAAAAAAAAAGTGAAACATGCCTGCATCTAGCAGGCATTTAAACCTTATCTGATTCACTCCCCTTTCTTTTGAAGAATTCCTGGGCCAATCAGCCTGGATTGTTAAATCAGAGACCCCCATGTGCCCAATTATCTGGTTCATACAGAGTATAAATACCATGCATTGTGATGCTACCACCTAACAGAAGGATGTAGATTGTACTTTGAAATACAGAAGCCAAATTTACCCCCAGCTGATTTTTTTTCATAGTGCTTTTTAAATGTCTTTCAAAATTTAACAGAAAATCAATTAAAATAATTGAAGCTCTTTGAGTAGATGAGACCACATGGGTTCTGACACCTATCTGTCATTCGGCAAATATAATCAACTGTTATCCATGAAAGCTGAAAATTTCTCTATCCTACTTTTGACTTCGTTTTATGGTTTTTCCCTTTTCTACAATTTCTGTAAACTCTCTTTTTTCCTTTGCCACCAATCTAGGACAAATCTAAAAAAATGCTAGGGTAGAAACATGCAGTATCTGTGTGAATAATATATTATTTCTATTTTGTGCTTTGGGGTTACTTGTTACGTTATCCTTTCCCTAATTATTACAAATCATTAAAACTTATACACATGGCTCATTATTGGGCAGGTCAACACATGCCTAGACTTTGGTTAGGACCTAGTTGCACCATTCTTAACAGTGAAGATTTTGGAAAAATGAGACTTTTCTGACTGTTCCCTCTTCCTAAGCTGCCATTAACTCATCAGCCTAGGACAGACTACTACCTTCTCCCTACACTTTCCCCATAAAGGCTTTTTACCAGCGCCTCCTTGACCTTGTGGTAAGAGGTATGGCTGTTTTTTCAGGTCTTGTTTTACTTAACCTTTGTGTTGAACTTGATCTTGTTAATCACTCCCTCATCTTGAAATACTCTTCTCCCCTGTTTCTGTGACTCCATTCTTTCCTGATATGCTGCTACTTGTATTTATTCCTCCTTGGTATCCTTTGCAGCCTTTGTGTTCTGTGTTCAACTTACTCATAGTTTATTGCTTCCTATTCTTCTGCCGCTATAGCTTCTTTCTAGGCATGGTTTGCCAGTTTCAATGTTTCCTCACTCATATCCCTTCCTGAGCTCCAGACACAAGTGAAACACTTCTTGCTGGATGTCCTCACTCCGTGTGTGTGTGTGTGTGTGTGTGTGTGTGTGTGTGTAGACATTTCTACCAACCACTTTCAAACTTGAACTCCTCCTCTTTTCTCTTTCAACCCCAAATGTACTTCTGGTTTTGCTTTCTAGATTAGTAGTACAACCTTCCCTATATGTTACTCAGATAGCTAAAAGTTATTCTTTTTATTTTTTAATTGCTTTATTAGCATAAGTTAATTGTACAAAGGGGCTTTATTGTGATATTTACAACATGCGTATAATATACTTTGATCAAATTCATCCCATCTGTATTACTCTTTCTTAACCACTTTGCAATAGTTTTGGTGGATTTGTCATGCTGTTTTCATACACGTATGTATTATATTTCTATAATAGTCCCCCATACCTCACCCTCATGCTCAAGTTATTCTTCAATCCTTTTCTCAGTCTTGTCCCTTTTAGCCAACTGGCTACCTAGTCTTACCTGCTCTACCTTCATAAATATTGTTCAAACTGTCTTGATTACTACTATGAGGGCTTTCTTCCAGTTTTACTTGAGGTTGCCATTATCAGCTTCTGAACTACTTCTTCCCTTTCAGTATTGTTCCTCTTGTATACTGTCATGTGGTTGACAAGGAAATAAAATTCCTTGAACACAAAATTCAAATGTCATTTTCCAGTACATAAACCTAATGATTTCAGTGTGGAAGTGTGAATTGCCAAGCTTGCCATATGAATCTCTTCCTTTACTAGGCTTCTGTAAAGAATATAAACCTCCTTTCTCACAAAAATCCCTCTCTCAATCTTCATGTCCATCATATCAAACTAATTCAAGTTCCTTGTTTTCTTGAATTTAACATTTGTTTTGGTGCCTTTGGAAAATTTGATTCTTCTACCTGGAATAATATTTTCTCCTTACCCAAGGTCTTCACCTAACTCTTATTTTTCCTTCAGAAGGCAGTTCAAAGTGTCTCTAAAAAGTGTCAGAAGTCACTGACCTGCCCCAGTTCCTGCCCTAGCCCTTTATCACACTTCTTTGCACATTACAATATATCAACTACACAGAAGGTTCTTTAAGGGCAGAAACTGTATCCTATTCATCTTTACATTGTTAGTGCCTGACACTTAAGAGATACTAATAATTGCGTCAGTTAAATCCATGAATAATTCAGGTGTGAAAGCTATGTCCAAAGCGGCCTGCAATGCCCTGTCCTTCCTGTTATTTTTGCTCTCAGCTAGGCCCCTCCCATGTTGCACCAGGGCTGGTAGCACATGCTGATACGTTGTATTAGATCTATAAAGTTCTCCACGTGGAGGGAACTTCATGAAGCCAGAAAGGCACTGAGACTACCACAGTGAGCTTAGGAGGAGGTTTTCCAGCTGTGGCTGTTTTCAGTATCATGAAGTATCACGACCAACAGCTTGAATACATGTGTATAAAGCTGTGAAAGATTTTGAACCCCAGCCTCTCATCTGATCCACTCTCAGTCCTCATTCTCAGAAACTGTGTGCTCTTTATCTTAAGTTGCCACATTTTGAGGTAACTTGTTACTCAGCACTAGATAACTAATACATGTGGCAAAATGAAATACATGCTTTACCATTTCCAGGGCACCTCTGATAATCCCACAGAGTAAATTGCAATAGCACAGAGAAGATCGCCCAGCAGGGAGCTCTTCCACAAACTCCACCAGAGGATTCTTGTCGAGAATCAGGGAAAATTCATTTTTGCTTGCATTGTTACAGGTCACACTTGGTGTAATTCCCAAATACATCTTGAAAGCAACCTGTTGAAGAGAAAACAATTATTAACACTTGGTATAGAACAAATATTTATTAGCACAAGAGCGAAATACTCTGCTCCAGGCATTGCAAAACAATGGTAAAAGCGTGTTGAGTCTGCAGTCAGGACATCTGGATTCACATTTAGCTTTGTAACTTATTAAATTTATATCATGTGAGAGTCTTAAATTCTTTTACTTTTAATGGAACATTCTAAAGGAAGCAATATGGTTTTCTAAAAACTGTCATAAGGCATTATTTTTAAAAAACTTTTAAAAAGGAAATACATGCTTAAGAGTAAGAGATTAAAAGATCATTAACCAGCAACATAGCAGCATAATATTTGTCATATTGATCCTAACAAAAGATAAGCCCCTGAATTCAAGGGGATCTAGGACACATGTGTCACATGTGTGATGTGACCATGATAATGGTCAGACTAGAAGATGCATTGTGTAGAGTATACCCAAGGATGTGTTTTGAGAAGTAGAGGGAATCCTATTTCTATAGATCACAAGTCTCTGAGAAGGAGCAAGGGGGGAGTGGTGGAAGAAACATACATGAGTGATAAAGTAATCCTCAAAAATATTTGACTGAATGCTCATGGCTCGCACCTGTAGTCGTAGCTACTTGGGAGACTGAGATCAGGAGGACTGAGGTTTGAGGCCAGTCCAGGCAAAAAGTTAGCAAGATACCATCTCAACCAATATCTGGCCACAGTGACATGCTCTTGTCATCCCAAGTTACACAAGAGGCTCAGATCAGGAGGATTTCAACTCCTGGCCAGCCTAGACAAAAAGTTTATGAGAACCCATCTCACTGGAAAAGGCAGGGCATGTTGGTGTGCACTTGACATGTTTTCCTACTTGTGATGATGGGAAGCTTAAAATAGGAGGATCACAGCTTGGGCAAAAAGTGAGAGCTTATCCCCAGAATAACCAGAGCAAAAGGGCAGAGGTATGGCTCAAGTGGTAATGTAGCTCAAAAGGTAGAGTGCCTACCTAGCAAGTGTGAAGTCTTGATTTCAAACCCTAGTACTGCATGAAAAAATAGAAAAAAGTCTTATAGGACTTGAAGAATTTTACAAGATAGGAGTGAAAGAAATTTAGGAGACTATTTCTTAGTCCCTTGGTCTAGTCCAAAGCAATTTCTTTTCATAAAACACACAGGCATAGGTTTTAAACTTTATTAATGGAAATTTGTCAGCTTGATGCGTCATCTTTCAAATGACTTAATTAATTTAATTTTTAAATTAAGAGCAGTGTAGGAGAGAAATGGAAGCAATTTTCTTAAATTACCTATAATTTGAAGCCTTAAGAAGTTCTTCATTCATTCATTTGGTACTTGTTTAGCACTGCCTGTCTAGCAAGTGCCTAGCATGCAGTGGGACCTCAATAGCCATTTTCAAATAAATTATTGACTGAACATCCAATCTATGTTTGACACCATGTTTAGACCCAGAATACATGAATACTGACTCAGGATTTGCCAAGTAGACAAGGTGAGGGCAGATGTGAGTCAGAAACTTTCAGGTTCTAGAACATGTCTTGGCATGAAATACCATGATGAGGTTCAGGAGAGGTCTTCATCTATCAATTTGTGAACTGGGGGGATCCTTAATGATGTGAATAGGTTAATAAAGAACCCATGTCTGCTTTATAGGATCTCTTTTTGTTAACATGGAGGGTGGATTTAAGGTTGTGAGTTGGATGGGCATGAGATCAAAGGGAAAGATACTAATCAAGAAGATACCATGATAGACTAGGAAAGAAATGGTGAAGACTCTTTTTCTTCAAAACTTAAACTGTGCTTAAACTTCCCCATATAAAATTTCAGATATCCCAGATCCTACAATGAGGTTCGTGTCTCTAACAAAAGCCAGTTTAAGAAGGTGCCCCTATCTTCCAAAATCTTCCTTAAGTTGTATAGCAAGAGAAAAAACTATCTTGAAACATTGAGTTTGGTAATTCGATTTGGCTCCCAAGCAGTTGGTTGAAACTCCTGCTAATGTTGATTCCTTCTACTGGAAAATTCCAAAACTATTATTTGTATGAGTGAGAATTTCTTTCTGCTTTCCAATCTAAGGCACATGGAAATAACATTAAAAAGGAGCCTTTGAATTTCTCATTCTGTGTTTAGGTGACCAGTTCAGGCCCAGTATCCACCAGTAGGAGGCATTAAATGAACACTGTTGAGAAATATGCATTCCTAGGTAATGACATTGTTTCCTTATCTGGCTGAATTCAGTCAAAGAAGGAGGACTGTTGTTTCTAATGAAGAAAGAGCTCCACCCTCAGCCACTGCCACAGCTGCTGTGTCAATAGCAAGGGCAAAGTATTCTCCCTCTTTGTGTTTGTCCAACATGGATGCTTTTCAGAGCATTTTAAAGTTCTTTCTTAACCAAAAAACTGCTATTGGCTACAGCTTCATGGCTTTGCTGACTTTGGGAGGTGAGCGCCTCTTTTCGCTTGTGGCTTTTAAATGCCCCTGCAGCACTGAGAATACGGCCTACGGTTTGGTTTTCCTTTTTGCTCCTGCCTGGGTGTTACTGATCCTAGGATTCTTTCTGAACAACAAGGCATGGAAACTCTTCACAGGCTGTTGTGTAAATCCCAGGAAAATCTTCCCCAGGGGCCACGACTGCCGCTTCTTCTATGTCCTGGGCCAGATCATTCTGAGCTCATTGGTGGCTCCAGTGATGTGGCTTTCTGTGGCTTTGCTTAATGGAACTTTTTATGAATGTGCCATGAGCGGGACGAATAGTTCAAGACTTCTGGAACTGATTTGCCAGGGCAAGCCCAAAGAATGCTGGGAAGAACTTTACAAAGTATCTTGTGGTAAAACTAGCATGCTACCCATGGACAATGAAGAAGTGAAACTGTCCCTTCAAGCTCAGTCCCAGGTAAGATCAAACTCGCTTTTTTCTCCCAGCATGAGTTAGAACTATTCTCTCTGTTCCCCTTTCAGCCAGAGAGAAGTCCAAGTCCTGCCAGAACAATTTGAAACTAAATGGAAACTGGAAAATGATGTAGCATTAAGACAATCTCGGGAAAAACCTTTTAGAGGCTGGATGGCTCCATAAAATTGCTGATTGGATTATATCTTTTCCATTTCTGAAAAGACAATATCCTCTGGGTTATGCATATGTAGATACTTAAGTACTTAAAAACAGTCTGTCTGAGTTGACTTTGTAAATAATGCATAACACCAAATCATAAACTGAGTGTTAATGGCTGAGCTATAATTAAGAATTACTGTCTTCTATCACTTATTTATTTTCAAACTGGTTTCTCAGAGAAACACAAACACATATTGTTCATCTATTAAAATATAGCTGAGCCATATGAGTGACTTCTTTCAAAGTTGCATGTCATATACTATTGTAGTTATTCCCTTGAATGGTTTCTGGCAATTGCTGTTTCTTGTATAAATAAATATTGTCAAGATTGAGAAAAACTCCCATATAAAGTCAGACCAAGTAGTCTTTAAATAGCCTTCAGTGAAAAGTGACCATTTCTCTAGGGAGATTATGTCTCTTACTCTTTGTACTGTACAGTTAAAGAAGTTCGTACATTATTTTAGAAACTCAAATTTGGGGACACTGTTTTATTTAAGAGGAGGGAATCATATTCAGGTAAGTAGTAACTTGTCATTTCTTCAGGTCCATAAACACAAATCCGGACACATGAGCTGGGCCTGGCCTTAGAAAGACTGATTTTCTATTTGTGAGTAGTGGAATTGCATTCCCCAAATCAAAACAAACAGCAACAGCAGATAAACAGCTTCATAATTTGCCAGGAATATGATTTGTTTTGGAATGAATGCCCTGAAAATAGTGTTATTTTGCATTTTTCAACAGGATTTTTCTTTATAACACATGGAGGCAAAGTCTGTTCTTAAAATAATACATTCCAAAGTGGTTTGCAATAAAGTCATACTTTCTTTATAAACTGATAAGCCAAAAACTTCCCCAAACAAAATCTTTTGTTTAATGCACAAAGACCATTTTAGATAAAACATGTCAGGCTCCTAAATGTCTTCCATCTTTGTTGAAGGAAGGTATTAATTACAAATGTTATAATAGAATGTATGACTTATGGTTTATGTCCTACGGCACCAAGCTCCATTCAGTCAGTGCCAAGTTCAAACACTTATCACTGTGTAAGCTTTTCTTCTCTAAACACAGGCACAAGGAAATCATGCACATCCTGTCATAGCTTAGACTGGACACAATGACCTGTTGACTTTTCAGCAGAATGAGAAGAGCCTGGGGCTGAATCTAATGGGAGGAACCTGAGAGATGTGGATGAAGGGACATGTAGCAACAGCAGGTGCTGACCATGAGGTTCAGATGGTAGGAGGCAACACACACTGCACATCAGTAATTGGGCATGTGGGAGGGAGTGGAAAAGTGCATTCATCTGTGGGTGGGGCTTAGCAACAAGAAATCCAACTATATGACTCTATTCTTAAGGATAGTAGAATGGAGTGGAAAGAGCTCAGCCTTGGAGTTAGCTGGCTTTGGATTTGAATACTGATTCTGCCATTCATGAGCTAGCTATAGATAGAGGTTCAACCTTTCTGAGTTGTAGTTTTCTCATAGTGGGGGACAATAAGTACCTATTGTGGAGAGTTGTTGGAAGGTTTACAAATAATGAACATAAAACTTCTAGAACATCATTCGTATTCCAAATTGAGGAGAAAACTGCCAGGGTTTGAGGAGGAGACTCATGGAAAACAAGACTTGACTGGGGGCTGGGATGGGAGCAACTACTGCATTCTAGTTGGACTCTAGGTATCCTGAATTTGAGGAAAAAACAAGATTCTGTACTCAGCACTCAGATGAGAGCAGGTTGATGCTAAGGTCATCATGTGTCAACCTTTGCCCCAAAAGGGCAAAGAGGACCTGAAGCTGATCCAATAGATTCTAACTCAGCTAGAATTAACTCAGACATTGAGGTAACGTGTCCAGGAGGCCCAGCAGTAGGGGAAGAGGAGGTAGATGCTGAAGGAAAAGAGGAAGATCTGAGGCTGCCAATCACAAATCCACAAATGACCAAAGGTAAAGATGAAGACTTTCACATGTTTTTTGTACCTCACTCAGTAATTGTAAGTCAAGAAGGAAATCATGAGTTCAGCTAGAACTCACTGGATGAGTTCACGTGCTCAGCATCATTTCTTTGGATTCCCAAAAAACATCCTCAGAGATGAGTCATCTCCATTTCCTAATAAAGAAAACTCCGAGACACAGACTGCATCCATAATAAGGGGAAAGCTAGGGTTAAAACTAAGTAATGCCAGCCAGAGCTGGAACTTATGTAGAGGGTGGGATCCTTTGCAATAATCCCATGTTTGAGCTAGATGTTGGGAAACACCGATCTAAAGCATGTTTCCAGTTCTTTTATGGTCTGAATGGGTTTAGTTGCAAATTATTGTTTCTGTTTTCAAATAGGTCCATCTGCTAAAGGTCATTTGAACTAAATGTAAAGGCATATGTCAAAAAATATGTTAGCTCTCCAAATAAAATTAATTCTTATTATGAAAAATAGATTACAAGCAACAAAAATTAAAAGATATGTTGAGCCATGTAGACTTTTACTTTTAAAATAGCTTTTTAAAAAAACCCAACAGGACCATTCATATTCAGAGATGAATTTATTTTTTCTAATCACCCAAATTGAAAACACGTAATCCTCAAAGTTAAGAATGACCCCATTTTTTCTCAGCATTTAGATGGGATTTAAATTCATGCAGCTTCAGTGTCCTTCTCATATTCTGTCTCCCTTCACTGTGGACAGTAAGTAAAGGCCTTTCTGCCAGAGAGTGTCTGCTGCAGTCACATGGGAAAAAAAATTGGTCACTAGCAATGAATATGAATATGTGTGAATGCCTAAAAACACCTGGGTCATTCCCTTAAATGACCACAATTACTCATGCACAAAATTTTTTTTCACTAACAGCTATACTATTTGGAAGCTTGACTTAGTCAATTCTTGGATAATCTATACTTCTTTCTCTTTTCCATTTGCCAGTCATCTGGTTATTTCTTTGCATAGCAAAGATGTTCAGTAGGAGACTGGTAATTTCTAACTTTATTTTGACTGTTAATGTGTTTAAAAATTAATGATTTCAAGTGAGACATGGTAATGACTTGTATTTTACATGTCCTTAATAATTCTTTTTTCCTAAGATTTTAGGATGGTGCCTGATTTGTTCAGCATGCTTCTTCTCTCTGCTTACTACTTGTTATGCACGCTGCAGATCTAAAGTAAGCTACCTACAGCTGAGTTTTTGGAAGACATATGCACAAAAGGAGAAAGAGCAATTAGAAAATACATTTCTGGACTATGCCAACAAACTCAGTGAGAGGAACCTGAAGTGCTTTTTTGAAAACAAGAGGCCAGATGCCTTTCCCATGCCCACTTTTGCTGCCTGGGAGGCTGCTTCAGAGCTGCATTCTTTCCATCCAAGTCGGCAACACTACAGCACCCTCCACAGGGTTGTAGAAGATGGTCTGGAACCTAGACCCCAGGACAATGAGACAGCAATGGTTCTTCTGGGTTCAGCTGACAACCTGTAGCTCCTCCACCATCACTGACTCACATTGTCCAATGCTACACTAATTCTGAGAGTCTCCTGCTATATCAACAAAAATCTTATATTGCTATACTCCTTCGCAGTCAGAGCTTCTTTACAAAAAAATAACATGAAGGGAAACTGCTTTGAAGCTTCCAAGTGCAATGTCAGGATGCTCTCAAATTAATGTTGAGTGGTGACAATGATGCTCTTAAATTGGTGGAGGGTTGGGCTCAGCAGGCCCAAACATTGCTCCAAGTTCTAAGATTTTATTATTCAGCACACAGACTTACACAAGAGGGTCTGCCACTATGTAAATACTGGTTATAGCATTTGTAGGGGCTGAAACATTGGTTTATGAGGGACCAAGATATTCAACATAGACTGCTGTGTATTGTGACATCCACAGTGTGGTCAGCAGGAATCCTTGGGTAAATCAATCCTACTACCCTATACCCAAGATATATGAAATTCTACCATTTGAAATTCATTTCCTGGACTGGTGGAGTGACTCAAGTGATAGAGTGCCTACCTAGCAAGCATGAGGCCCTGAGTCACCAAGGAAAAAGAAAGAAAGAAATTCATTTCCTTAGAATCTGAAGACCTCAATTCTCAAAAATAACCAATTGAGCAATATGATGCTAAAAATCCAGTTTTCCACATGCTTTCACTGTATTCTGAAAGTATGGTCCCGGGGACAAGACTGCATCAAGATTTTAGGGAACTCTAGGTACTTTGCCTTTACAGGTCAATTTCTACACTCAAAATGATAATTATATTTGTATATTCATATATATGAATGCACATATGTGACTACATTGACATAAACAGAAATATATAAATATTATACATTAGAACACTTTTTTCAATCTAAAAGTACATTTATTTCCTTCTTATTTTATAAATGTTTTCATGGTCCCATACTAATATTGTAGGTTATAAGCATGGTGCTTACTATACCATGGGTATGTCTTAATCTGGCCTACTATAACAAAATGTCATAGACTGGGCATCTTATAAGCAATAGAAATTTATTTCTCACTGTCATAGAGCCTGGGAATTGTGAAATTAGGGTGCCAGCATGGTGAGGGTAGGGGTCCTCCTTCAAGTTGCAGATTGCTGACTTCTCATTGTGTCCTCACATGGAGGTAGGGCAAATAGCTTCCTAGGGCGTCTTTTATAAGGGCACTAATTTTATGCCTGAAGGTTCTGCCCTCATAATCTAATTACCTCCCAAAGGCTTCACCTCTTAATCTTATCACTTTGAGGGTTAGGTTTCAATATATTAGTTTGGGGTAGGTGGGTGGGTACAAACATTCAGATCATTGCAGAGTAAATTGGTCATGACTAGAAGTCTGGGGACACTGTTCAAAGTAGTATTGGTATAAAATTGTTCTACAGTTTTACATTTATCAGAAAGAATGCAAAATTTGCATTCTACTATGTAATATACATCTATGTTAGTGTGTGTGTGTGTGTGTGTGCGTGTGCATGCATATGTGTGTATGTGTAAATTCCTCTTAAATCTCTGAGTGTAATTGTACTTAAGGAAGAGGAGCCATGTTTTGTGTTCAGGTTCATACCTTGCATCACTAGGAGTCCATATTCCCAAATCAGGAAAAGCTGGATATTAGCTTCTCATTACCATGAAACATGAAGACAAACCAAGGGGACAGCTTATCTGTGGCATTATGATTTATAACAATATATGTTTCTTATTCATGCCCATTCCTGGCACAGAGTTTCTAAAACCCTTGGGATTTCCATTATGTGTGTTTTTTTGTGTACTAGTAAGATGAGCAGTGGCTCCTGGATAGCCTGAGGATGAGGGCTGGTTGCCAGAGGAACCAACCATGAGACTAAGAGAGTTGAAACTTTCAGCCCTATTGTCAGACTTCTGAGGAATAAAGAGGGGTTGAAGGTTGAATTGATCACTAATGTCCAATGACTTAACCAATTATGCTTATTTAATGAAGCTTCCCTAAAACCCCCAAAGGTCAGATTGCTGAGAGTTTCTGAGATGTTTAACACATAAAGGTGGCATACCTAGAGAGGGCATATGGAAGTTCTGAGCCGCTTCTGCATATACCTTACTCTATACATGGGGCTGTGTCTGCATTTTATTGTTTTATGAAAAAAAGATAATAGTAAGTAAAGTATTTTCCTTAGTTCTGTGAACCATTCTAGCAAATTATCAAATGTGATGAAGGAATCATGAGATCTGATGATTTGTAGCCAAGTCAGACAGAAGATGTAGGTTGCCTGATGGACATACTGTTGGAGATCACCATGTAAAGTTAGGGGAAATTCTTAAGAAAACGAGCTCTTAATCTGCTGGGGGGGGGTGGTCTGAACTTAACTCTGGTTACTGTTAGAAATGAACTGAATTATAGGACACCTAAATGGTATTGGAGAATTAGTCAGTGTGGGAGAAAATCCACAACTCTCGTGGGCAGAAGTGTTCAGTGTTGCGTGTGAGAAGGAGGGTATATACAAATTTTAGAGGTACAGCATCAGGGGTGTGTGTGTGTGTGTGTGTGTGTACATGTGTGTGTGTGAGAGAGAGAGAGAAACAGAGACAGAGACAGAGACAAAGACAGAGAGAGGCAGGGATTGGGGATGAGTAGGAATAGAGATATCAGAATGAAGACAGAGAAAAGCAAGCTAACACAAGATGAGCTCCTTCTTCATTTGGAGCTCATCTGCCCTTAAATATCCAACCGAGCCAGAAGGCAGATGGAAACCAGTGATGCCCAGGTATCCTTTGGCTGGGTGAAAGGCTGAAGCAGCAGTTCTATAAAAGTAGCTTCAGTTCTAGAAAGCTGCAGTTTGAGGGGTCAGCTGTGGAGCATATTTTTGCCATCTCAACCCCAGAGGCAGTTTATACTTATGAAATGGATGCCTCATTCAAGAATATCCTCCCTAGCTAGTAATAAGCTAACTGCCTGGGGGACTTTTGCTGCAGATTAGTAAGTAGCAGAGAAACCCATCCTCTGGAACAAGTTGCCCCAGGATGCGTCAGGTTCCTATCCTGACCCTTGGTCCTAATTCCTATAGAATAGTACTTTACTCCAGAGGACAAACAAGTCCAGGAAACTTTATATGTCCCATAAACAACCTTAGAGGGAATGGGTGGAGACAGAGAGAGCAAATAATCTGTTCTTGGGTGTCAAGAGGGAACAGGTACCCAGAGGCAGCTGATTTGAGTAGAAGAGAGTTTAGAAGTATGAACAGTTTGTTGTCTTAGAATAGGGTCTCTAGAATCAGTGCCCAATACAGGAAGCTGTGTGTAACTGATTTATTAAAAAGGTATATGCTAAAGAGAAAACCATAAGCAAGACAGATACAAGAAAGAGTGATGTTTCAAGAGAAGTCTCAGCCCAATCTGTCCTATAGGAAATTCTGGGCCATCAGCCTTTGCTTGATCCCAAAGGGACTCTGAGACTTTGGATGTGATTGTGAGTTGTTCCAGAGCAACAGAGAGAATGGTCCAGACAGCTCTAGGAGAGTAACCACCAGTGGTCCAAGGGTGACCTTCCAGAGAAGGTCGCACCTCAGCAACTGGGGGAGATTAGTACTCTGAAATTAGTTATCTGGAGAAGGTTCCAGAAAGGTCCCACTAATTTGTGCTAAGAATCCTCCTTTAGGTCTAGAATTGAAGCATATGGAAGACACCCCTGGACTAGAATCAACCCAAGCCATGCTGACTCCCTTTTTAAACTTATAACTTCCCCTGAAGCCAAAGACAAATAATCTCTTCCTACTACTGTTACTTTAATACATAAAAGGATGGTGTTGGAGAGTTCTTTTTGAAAGAATTTGACACCTTCTCATATAAGGATGTATAATACTTACTTTGTCAAATACATCCCATGAATAAGTTGTGTACAAATTTAAATGATTCTATTTTCTGTGAAGTTCCTACTCTTTTGTTCAAGCTTACCTAATTAACTCATTAACTTTAGGACATGTTCCCTTTACTCATTCCCAGTAGAAAATGGGGGGAAAGTACTTACCAAGGATTACAAAACTAAAGTTTCATAGACAAAACATGAAAAATATTATACCTTTATTAATACATTGTGAAGTATAAATGTACCCAAATATGCCTTAAAAATATATATATATGATTCTCTACTTGAAACCTTTGAAGCACTGCTGAATTTAGCATGAAAATGATGAAATTATCAAATTCACATATAGTACCACATTTTAAAGTCTGATGATCCACTGATTTACTATAAAAACTGGTTAAGATTCTAGAACTCACTAGGTAGCAGAAAATTCCTACCTCTTCTCACATGGTGTATTTCAGATATTTTAACTACTGACTTGTGTTAGGTAGCTTTCTTTCATCATAACAAATATCTGAGATGATTAACTCATAAGGGGATAAGGTTTATCTTGGCTCACAGTTTTGGAAGTTTCAGTCCATGATAGATTGATGCCATTGCTTTGGGCTATGGTAAGGCAGCAGATCATGGTGGAAACATATGGTAGAGCAAAACCGTTCACCTCATGACCAGGAAGTAAAAGAAAGAAAGAGGAAAGGATACAGCCCACTATCCCATTAAAGGGCATGTTCTCAGTGACCTGAAGACCTCTCATAGTGTCCCAACTCTTTCTACCACCACCCGTCTCTCAGTAACGCCAAACTGGAGACCAAGTCTTTAAGGGGTCTTTGAGGGACATTCCAGATGTGAACTATAGCATAACTATTATTCTACTTATATTCCAGTGGTTCTGAACTATCTAAGCAAATTTCTTAATTTTCTAATATTTCCCAATCTTTTTTTTTTCTGTTGCACAAGCCACAGGACATTTAGTTCCTTTTGTGTCTATTATTTATATCTGTCTCTTTTTATATCCCAAAATTATTAAGAAAAATTTAAATGAACAGCATGAAAGGTTGGATTGGAAGCATCTGTGCTTGTCAGTGATTCTTAATACTCATTGTAGTTTGGATTCATCTGAGGGCTTTGAGATTTTTAATATCTGGCCCTGTCCAGAGATCCTAATGTAACTTTTCTTCATTGTGGCCTGGACATAGAGTTTTTTTAAGATTCCT